AGTGCCATAGGGCATGCATACACAAGTGGTGGCTTGGAGCCCTTGGCAAGGGCCTGCAGGTTGACCTTTGCCAGTTCCATGACACAGTTCTGACTGATGCAAGAGCCCTGTGGTGGCAGCCACCACTTCTACTCTAGAGAGGGGTGGGTCATGAGACTCAGCTTCAGGACGGAGTCAGCATCACAGACCCCCAGCTTCATTGTCTGGGGTAATGATTTAGACAGTGAGATTCTAGGTGACTGAAGAATAGTAGCAAAAGCTCCCCAGGGGAAAACAGGACCTTCAGGAGTGAGGCCCATGGCTTCCACCTGGACAGGGACAGCCTGCACATTGCCCAGGTGGTGTGGCTGAGCCCCGTGACCCCTGCCCCAGGCCAGACATGCTGGGACCTTTCAGAGTCAGGGATCTGAGAGTCTTACATCTATTCTCAGCCTTAGCCCACCTGTCAGGGCCAGAAGCCCCTCACCCACTCATTCCTCCTCAAGCCTTGTTTCCCATGAGGGCACCCACACCTGCTCGTACCCTGTCTGTCCATTGGTCCTTCACCTTAGTGTCTCCCTCAGTCTCCCAGGGATAAAAGACCTTTGTGAGTCAGCTTCTGTCCCTGCCCAGGCTGGAGATGTGGGGTACACTCTGGACCTCCCAGGACCCTGAGCCCTGAGGACTTTGGGCATACAAGACCTTCCTCAGTGTGGGCTGTGGGCAGCTTTTCTTCTAGACAGCAGAGGCTCCCTGGAGCCGTACTATATGGTGTATGTGGTCCAGGCAGCCTTCTCTCTATGCCTTTGAAATCAGGCCTCAGAAGCAAGCTGCCTGGGCTCAACCCCCACCTCTGCTGCTTAGAAGTCTGGCCCCTGTGGCAGATGATATGGCTTCTCTGTGCCTCACATGGATTTGGACACAAGCCGGTTGCTTATGTTTAAGTCCTGGGAATATTTGCAGCTACTCCCTAGGTTACTACTCTGGTTAAATGAGCCAATGCATCTAAGTTAGGTAGCAAAGTGCCCCGGATGTAGCAAGCTCTCAAATATAAGATTGTCACTTCCATTTGACAGATGGGGAAACAGAGTCTTGTAGAGGGGAAGTGACTTTCAGATGACCTCATTTAAATTCAGCCCCATCTGCATCCAAAACTACGGCTTGTCCTCTCTGGTTCCCCACTCACCACCCAGGACAAAGGTCAGGTTCAGACTTCCAGGAGTCCCCACCATAGCTGTCCCTTGCAGTGCTCATAACTGGAAAACCTTGGTCCTCCCAGCCCAGAACACTTATTAGTTGATTGAATCTTCACGAATTGCAATCTCGAGGGCACTCTGTCCTCCAGAAAGCACAACTTAGCCAAGGCCACTTCCCTGGCCTTTGTTGGTGTGACTGGTCTCTGAGTCATCAATTCCCTTTATGGCCAAGGCCCCAGTTTTCTTCCTCTTAGTTTCCCTCTTCTGAAGCCCACGTGTCCACCCAGCACCTGGCCAGGGAGCCAAGCCAGTCTCCCTCCCTCTGATTTCACTCTGCTCCTGTCTGGCTGCCCAGCCACTTGGAGTATTTGTCAAGTGCGGTGTTAGTGTCTCACTGCCGCCCTGGCCTCTGCAGAGTGCTGAGTGGGCAAGCTGGAGCTGTCGGCTCAGTGCGTACCCCTGAACAGGACCCAACATTCTTCACTGTCACAGGCGGCCAGGCGGGCAAGGCTTCCACTCAGTCTTGGGTCAGGGGTGCAGGATGCGGGCAGGCGACACTGAGGCTTGGGGCCATGTGGTTCCCATGAGGTGCTGGCCATGGGCGTGTGGGCATACCAGGTCCCCTGCTGGTCTTTGAGAGCCTGAGATTCTGTGTACGAGGTGAGAATTCTTAGCTGCCACCCCTGCTAATGACAATGAGGCCACGTTTCATCATGGGTGGGTACCAAGTGGAACGCTCTACAACATGCTCTTGTCACTGCTGCCTGTGGATGTGGGCCACACTTAGAGACTGCCTTCTCCCTTCCCCTGTCTGGAGGTGACTCTGGACATCGCAGAAATGACAGCCATCCTTGCTGCTATTCATTGAGGTCCAGAGGGCTGGCTAAGCCATTACCTGTAGCTGCCCACGTGAGCCTCCGACCTTAACACTCACTTCTCAGAGATAGGGAAACTGAGGCCCAGAGAGGTTAAGCAAAGGAGTCACAGGCAGCTTTGGGGGAGCAGCCAGCAGAGGGATTTGTGCGCACAGAGTTCTGGAAGCTGACCTGGGGATTCCTGAACAAACTTCCCAGTGGGACTTGTTAACAGAATGTCTGGAAAGTAACCTTGGAGCAGGGCATTTCCAGGGAGGCTTCACAGCTGTTTTGGGGAGTTCTCAACTCACCTGGGGATGCCAGGTTAGCAGTGCTCCATTGCCCCCATGCAGCCACCCAGACAGGATCCTGAGGGATCTTCTGGACTCCTCCTGTCCCCCTGGTCCCCTCATTTCACCAGCCTCTAGGCCCCCCCATTTATCCCCCTGGATTCCACTCATTTCTCCTGCTGGCCACATCACCTCTCCCAGGCTGACCTTGAACTCACGTTGGAGCCCAGGCTATTCTCAGACTTCGAATTCTCCTGCCTCAGTCTCTGGAGTTTACTCTCCCACACCCACTTACCACTTCTCGTTTTCTGGAGACACAAGCAATCTCTCCCATCTGCTTCTCTCCAGCCAGCTGCTCTGCTCCCTGTCCTTGCCTACAGTTACTCAGGGCCTTCCACGGTGCTCAAGGCCAAGTCCCAACCTCTGATCATGTCTCTGAACTGGAAAAGTTCTCTAATGGCACAGTAGTGGTAATCAGAGAAGGCTTCCTATAGGAAATGACAACTGTGCCAAAGGACGACAGAGAGTTTGTGCTGTACACCCCTGGGGGAAGCCGCTCTGGGTCAGCAGTGGCTGAGAACCTTCCTGAGGGGCTCCCTCACCCTGGATTCCTGTGGGATTTCTAGGAGGAAGCAGGTTGTGGGGCTGTGCTTCCGCTGCGGCAGTGTGGACATTCTGGGAAGTGCCAAGGGAGGGTGGGCGACCGTCCACACAGGAAGGGGGTGCACAGGGCTGGGTTAGCTGAGCCCAGATAAGCGGCTCCAGGAATGGGCTGGAGAGGAAGCCCTGAGCTTGGAGCCTCCTGTGCGTGTGATAGCGGCGCTTTAGAACGCACAGATATTGACAGAAGACGCTGCAGGCAGACTGTGGATCAAAGGCCCGGCGGAAGGCACTGTACAGGGCAGAGAAGCCACCCAGCCTAGGGGACTCATGGACACAGAGCAGAGGAGGCTCCCATGCTCTGTTTATACCCCAGTCTCCCTAAGCATCTCGGGGACAAGCACAGGGCTCAGTGGGTGTTACGCTACCTCCTAGGAGCTGGGGCACTTAAACTCTGCATTCATTTTAGAAATAGGACCAATTCAGCCTCATAGAGCAAGATGAGCCATTTCCTTGACATGACAATGGTGTCAGACACAGCCCTCATCTTGAGGGGTGCCAGTGGTCCCCAGAAAGAACTGGGCTTGGCATCCATGAGGGTGCCCCTGTCCTAGCTCTCCAGAGACCAGTTGCTACTGAGATGTAATGGTGAGCAGCTGCTTCTCCTCTGGGGCCTCAGTCTCTCCATCTGTGAGGTGGGAATTTCAGTAATACCACTTTTGCCTCCTGAGTCAGTTGGAGGAACACATAATAATGGTGGTCAAGTCACGCAGTCATTTGGAAAGCTGACTGCTGACAATCACAGACCTGGCTCACTAGGAAGCAGACAAGTGGTGAGATGAGCCAATGCTATGTGGAAGGTACTTGGGTGGAGGCAGCTCAGGGGTTGCGAGTCTATGGCCGAAGGGGAGGTTTCCAATTTACCTCTCTGGTCACACAAATGCCAAATGGAGCAAGGAAGCTGGCAGTGTACCATCTCCTCCCCAAAGTCTTCCTCGACTGCCTTTGAGAAGAGTGAGTTGTAAGCTCTGGGGAGCCCTTGGCTCCCAGGAAAGCCCTCACCATGAGTGCATGTGTGTAATCCCACCCTGTTTAGCTCATGGATAGCTTGGGCCCTTGCCTACCTTGCTAACCCTTGTCTGACCCCAGAGAGAGCAGCACCATGTGGTATCATGTGCCATTTGTCCTTTGTGTCTGCCTTGGTGCCCGCCTCAGTGCCCACAAGGCCAGGACTCAGACAGCTTCAGGGTATCTTTGTCCAACCACTGATTTAAAGTCCCCAACCAGCCTAGTGCAGCCTTCCCTGGACCTGTACATGGAGAAGTGGTCAGTTCTGAGTGCTAAGTAAGGCAAAAACAGAGCCACCATGGGCCGTAGGTCAAAGGCTGTGACCCCAAGCAACAAGTACAAGTGTCTTCCGGGGAAGCAGGCTCCGGGAGGGGGCCTTCAGAGCATCAGCCCACTCTGGGAAGACTGGAATTTCCACATGCAGATATGAGCTGATGGAGACCCTGTGACTTGTCACAGCATTAATTTTAGGAGACTGCCTTGGTGCACATTAGGAGGCTATTTTAGTCTCACGCAAATTAGACACCTTTATTAGCCCTCTGAGGTCAGGGAGGTAATGAGGGGCTGGAGGTGAAGGGACCATCATGTTTCGCCTGGGGTCCGCTCATTTCCCCATGCTTCAGCACTGTCAGCCCATCTGTCATCAGCTGCCCAGTGCTGGATGGAGTGTGGGACATTCCAGAGCAGGGTGATGGACAGAGAGAGGTCTGCAGGTTTCACACGCAGGTGCCCATAGGCCTGGCCGTGTGCATGTGTGAGCAGGAGGTGTAGGAGGATGGTGCCAGTTCTTGTATCTGTGCAAAGAGCTTTCTGAGATAGAGGAAGATTGTGTCGCTGTGGAGTGGTGAACTTCCTGTCATGGGGACCCTGGCCACTTTGGAGGGGCTCCTAGAAAGGAGGGGTAGGCTCTCAGCTTCAGGACCCCTGGATGGACCCCTTCTGGGGTTCAGAAGAACTGGATTCTTCTGGGTGCAACATGGTCCATTGAGCTAAGCAAACTATTCTCTTCTTTGCAGTTCAGCTCCTATTGCCTGAGGACCCCCAGCTGCTGCCCAGGAAACAGGAGGTACAGGGCCCTGGGTGTGGGGACTGTGAGGATCCCAGCTTCTTGATCATCAAACACATGTGGGGCTCACTTCACTTCACAGGGGAAGTTCCCACCCAGGGGATCAAGACTCCCCTCGAGTCTGCAAGGACCCTCAGACCCTCACCCCTGCTGAATTCTTGCTTATTCAGCAAACCACCACCAAGTGCAGGTACCCTTCAGGGGCCCGATATCACCTTCAGGGAGCTTCTCCAAGGTGCCCTGCACCTTGGAGAGATCCCGCTGTGGGAGGGCAGGCAAGTACAATTCTGGGGAGCACCCTGGTGAATCCCAAGTTCCTTGTGGCCATCCAGGCCTGTGTTGCCCCAGAGTTGCCCTGGCATCTACAGGCACAGCACTTTGTAGTATACCAGGGCATTCTCCTCTGCTCAGGAGTCTTCAACAGGCCTGATGGAGCTCTGCTCTCCAGACAAATGAAGAGACCCTGCCAGCCAGTGGGGCCTGAACTGAATCTGCTTTTCAGCCCCTGTGTTCCCTGGGGTGCACTCTCCTCTCTTTTTGGCTGAAAATATTCTCTTTCCCACATCGGCTGGACTGTTTACCTGGCAGATGCGCACAGTCACTAAAGGGGCCCAAGCAGGTCTGTCTGGGTGACAGGCAGGCAAGGGTAGAGGGACAGCTACTTTGGAGACATAGTCTAGCTATGTAGCTCAGGTTCAATTTGAAATTGTGACTCTTCTCCCTCAGCCTCCTAAGTGATGGTGTTAACGGCCGTTTGCTAATGCACCCATCAGGGCAGCCTCTTGGGAAGGGCTCTGAGGTCACACAGACCTGGGAAGTGGGCTTCGATCTTAGCTTGGGCATGCCTGGAACTCAGCAGGGTGTCCCACATGGTGACTCCAGCCACTGTTACTTTTTCCTGAGCCTCAGAAGATTGGAACAAGCCTCGGATCTTTGCCAGGGAAGTAGAAGGAGAGTTTCTATGACAGTTCTGGTTTGATAACCCCTACCTTATCCTCTACTGTATCATTTTGGGGTATACTATGTTGGCCTCGTGAAAAGTGCCAGCATCCCATATTGACCAGAGAAGCCAGGCCAGAGGAGCACAGAGCTAGGGCAGACAGGGTTGGAGCAGCCCAGCACAGCACAGGTCACTTTTGGCTTTGAGCCCTGCGTGGGATCTCCGACTGGAGGAGAAGCTCCCTGAGGGTGGTATCGGGCCCCTGAAGAGTATCTGCCCTTGGTGGTGGTTTGCTGAATAAGCAAGAATTCAGCAGGGGTGAGGGTCTGAGGGTCCTTGCAGACTCGGGGGGAGTCTTGATCCCCTGGGTGGGAACTTAGTGTTCACGCACACCTGTACTTTGTAGTGACGAAGACACAGAGGTCTCCAGGGGAAGTGCCCAGAGCAAACAGAAGACTCAACACTCAGCCACCTGGAGTAGTGCAGGCTGGGTGGGGCCTCAGGCCTGTGGTAGGAGGCTGGGGAGTAAGTGGCCGAGCACAAAGCAGAGGGGCTCAGGCAGGCCTGGTGTCCCCTAGGCTAAGAACAGAGGCCCTCAGAAGGCAGGGTCTGTAACAGCCCAACCCCAGGATGAGTTACGGGCGGGGCAGGGACCCACACTCATTCCCTTGCCCATCTGCCTGGGATATGGAAGTGGCAGCACACACCTGTAACCCTGAAGCTCAGAAGGCCCAGGCCAGCCTGAATAACACAGCAAGACCTCTGTCTCCACAAACCACAAACCGAAACCAAACAAAATGCTGGGCTGCAGGGAGAGGCTGGGGCCCTGGGTATCATTCTCCTGGACCCAGGTCCAGGACTCAGGTCCACAGTCCCTGGCACTGCACTGAGGATGGGATCCTGTGCCCTAGACGCAGCACACAGGCTGCAGGTGGCTTCTGCCCCCGGGGTTCCCCAGGGACCTGTGTGCCCCACGGCTTTGTTTTCTGGAGCAGCAATGTGGAGGGGAGGAGGGCGGCCAGGCAGTCCCCATACAGGCTGCGAATTCGGGCCATTGATTTGCATTTATTTCCTGCTCAAATGATCCAGGCCCACCACTGCCAGGGGTAGGGGCGGAGGGGCTGCTCTTTAGCATTTTAAGTTTGCAGATAATTGGAGGAAAATAACTCCAATAATGAAATCGCTGCTGGATCGCATTCTGATACGTGACAAATCAATTCATTTATGATACCTTTTTTGTCACACTGAGCCATTCTGGCACTCAGTGGAAACCTCTTAAATTAATAAAACTGTTAAATCCATAAAATTCTCCGTTCTGAGTAGCACATCACAGCGCAAGTTTGAATCATTAAAGGAATAAAACTGATAAATGTGAGCTGGGGAGTGTCTGTCTGCAAGGAGGGCCTGGCTTTTAGCACAGATGCTCTGTAAGAGCTGCCAGCGCCCATACATTCTCCCTGGAGGGACAGGGGGCGTGGTCGCCCGTACCTTCCTGGAGAGAGGAAGGCTGGTGCAGGCGGCCGCTTTAGAGGTGATTTGTGGGGCTTCAGCCTTTTAAATAAAAGGCTGAGGTGTGGTAGTGAATGACTGTACTCACAGCACTCAGAAGCTGAGGCAGGAGGATTGCTGTGAGTTTGAGGCCAGCCTGGGCTACATAGTGAGTTCAAGGGCAAGTGAGATCCTGTCTCCAAAAACCAAAGGCAAAAAATTATTTAACAGCAGGGAAAAAAATATAAAGTCTATTGGATCCTGCCAAAGTTGGCTCAGCAGGGATTTTCCAAAATATCTTCATGGTCAGACCACAAACTACCTGGATGGGAGGCCAGGTGAAGGGGAAGAAGGAGAGAAGGAGTGGCCTTTGACAGCTGATGGCCTCCTGATGAAACCTTTTGGTGGCTGTGTGACCCTGTGCACACTGCCATAATTCTCTGGGCTTCTATAGTCCCAACAATTGCCCAGGGATGAGGACCGTGACCTTCTAGGAGGAACTTGGAGATGATAGACATTATAAAGAGCAGGCGGGGCTGGACCGTCATTCCTAGACCTGCTCCTGGCTGCATGATACGGGATTGGATTTCTGCGTGTGCTGCAAGGGACTTAAGCAACAGGATATGAGCGAGCACAGTGAGGCTCTGCACATACGAGCCCGTCACCTGTGCAGCAGCAGCGTGCTCCACCTGTCTCGTGTACACGTGCAGAGGTAGCCAGAGCTCTGCCTTCCCTCCCTCAGTCTGGGAGTGTTCAGGAGAAGCCAGCAGAGATGGGACGCAGGGCAGCCAGTCAGCGGATGCTCTTCCACCCTTCACGGCAGCCCGGTTTGCTAAAGGAACAGAGGAGCCTTGTGGGGCTCCTGGCACAGATGTGCGGGTGGCGGGAGAGCCCTGGAAATGAACGAGGCTCCCGGCCTGTTAGGCTTTAGGGGGCCTCTTAGCCGCTCTTTGACTGCAGTGTTTAGAAGTTCCCTGAAGATGTCTGGGCCTTCCCTTCACTGCCTCCTGGGGATCTTCCAGGAACAGGGGCCGCACAGCCTGGAATGGATGGGCTACATAGCTCCTTCCCTAGGAACAGGGACTTGTCCAGGGGAGAGGCCTCAAAATGTCACCGACAGCGAGAACTTTCTACACTGCGCTCTGCCATACCTGTCAGGTTATATGGATGTATTTGGTCCAAAATGTCTAGGAAACACACTCACCTTTAATACAGGTGATGCATGGGATTTGATCCTATTCTATTGTTGGGGTTTTTGGGGTTTTTGTGGGGCGGTACCAGGGATCAAACTCATAACCTCGCATTTGCCAGGCAGGTGCTTATGCTGCTGAGCTAAATCCCTGACCTCTATCTTTGGTTTTTAAAATGCTACCTCGGTCTACTCAATTAGCTTTATGGCCCATTAAGGAAATGCAATGCACGATTTGGAAACTTTGGATCTTGTCCACCTGCTCAGTTTCCTGACAAGGGACTTTCCAAAACCCACACCAGCACAATCCAGGCGGGGCAGGGCCAAGCCAGAGTCCCCCAGGCTGTCTGTCCCCCTTCACACGCCTCTCTGGCTCTACGTGAGTCCCGTCAGAGCCCTTCCCATTGGTCACTCTGTGCAGGGCTCAGGGACTCACCGTGGGAAAGTGACAGGGAAGCTGTCATCAGCAGCCTCTGTCCACTTTCTAGAAAAGAGCAGAAGTGACAGGGTGGCTCTTGCCCTCTCCCCCTACAGAGATCAGAGGGGTACGGGGTGGGAGCCTGTGCCCCTGGCATAACGAGCAGTGGCCCGGCAACCTGACAAGCCTTTGCTCGCCCTGAGTGTCAGAACTCCTTGACAGCCGCCAACGTGAGCACTAATTGTCAGCAGGCCGAGGGCAGCAGCCCCATAATCCATATCAATTATGGGTATTGGCCCTGGCTGCCAGGCACAAAGGCTCCTCAGAGGTTGTCAGGCTTGGTGTCATTACTCGCAACCGCTGTGCCTGCTGGAGGGCGACGGAGACAATGTCCCTGCCACTCCCACCGCCTTGACAGCAGGGTCCTCAGCACGGTGCAGCAGGGCCTGACAGGTGTAAGGACCAATGCGAGTCCACCTGGCCCACCTCGGTGCTTTGCCGCCATGCTTGTCACACTGGGGACAAATGGGCTGTCACCTGCTGTCACCTCTTTCCAAGGAAAGCTTCAGGCTTGTTTTGAAGCCTTTTCCTCCTGCAGGGAACTGAAATGACCCCCAAAGCATCACTGTTGGTGGTTTTCATGCTCACAGCTACCACGCAGAAAGGAAAGGCCAAGGAGGGGGGCACTTGGGACCCTACACCATGCTTGGGTTCAGTCTGCTGGTCACATCTGGCTCTGGGTGTGCCTTTGATGTCAAGTGGATGCTGTGATGTTACACAGAGGCCAGGATTACGTGGCTCTGGAGTCAGGTGCACCTGTGCCTCTGCCTCCTAGGAGCCAGACCGTGAGACCTGCATCTTACAAATACTCCACTTCTTCTCCATCTTCTGCATGCTGCTGTGTCTGGGAGCCTTCCCCCAGACACACCTGCTGGGCACCAGCCTAAGGCCAGGTGTTGCAGATG